AAACATTTTAAATAGCAATTACCTCAGGAAATGAAGAGATGATTTTTTTTTTTTTGTAGATTTGTTATTTTGGGGGGCTTATCTTAAGGCACTTTCTGCTTTGAATAGAAACTATCAGTACTGGATTTTCTACTTTCTTCTTGAATGTTGTTGTTCTGATTCAGGTAACCAGGGTTGGTCCCAAAGTGTAACTCCTTATGAAGACAGGATGAACAGCATTTTACCTGAGAGGAGAGAATAGTGACGACTGTCATTTTATCATATATGTGATCATTCCTTGCCATTTAAGTGATGGGGGAGAGGAGTATAATAATGTGACAACCATCTCAAGGTTTTATTTCATGATTTTGAAATACAATGAAGTTCGGATTTTTACTTCTGACTTTTTTTTCTCTCCGATAATTTTAACAGAAGCACTGCTGTTCATTTTTTAGCTCCCTCTTAGCCCCCAATTTCAATACAAGTTCATTTGGGCGGGGGGGACCACTATCAGGAACTTCCTTTGGGAACAAAACAGTGCTGTTCATTCCTCCATCCAAACTGAAGGTCTTCCAAAACCAAAAAGCCCACATAGAAACAAAAAGTTACAAAAATCATATTCTAGGAGTTTGGTGTATTTAGCAGCAGTCACTGTGCTGCCTAATCATCCTTAAACTGACTTTTAAAAACAACAAAAAAATGTTTAAGGAATTTACAATTGCATGACTCATTTCAGTGTTATCTACAGCATATGAAGGTTTAGGATGGTTATTGGCAGCACACATGATAAGGCAATGTTGATCTTCAAGGTTTAGTTTTCTCCCAAACAGTAAACGTACCCCAAACCATTCTAGGTTTTCTTACTGAAAAAATGCCTAAGCTTCATTCCTTTTCTTGCTGCACCCATGGATACAGATAGATACAGGGGCAGCCGCTCTGAGTTGTCAGACTCTTTATTGCTCACCCCTGGTAGGATTCCTTCGCTTCCCTCAGAGAATTGAGTCCCTCCAGCCTTCACTAACAAAATTCCTGGGAATCTGATAACCTGCCCTTTATGGAACCTTTACATATGAGGGTACTTTAAAAAGTTCATGGAAAGATTTGTATTATCTTTTAATTCTATTTTTCTGTATGTTTTTTGAAGTACCCTCATATGTAAAATGCTTTGAAGAAGAGAATAATGAATGCCTACAAAAAATAAAGCTATGCCAAGCCGCCATAGTGTCCATATATGCATATTCCAAAGAAGGAAAATGATTTTCCAGTTTAAAATACTTACTTTCACTGTGCACTGTTCTTTCCACTTCTAGTTTGTCTGTAGTTTTTATAAAGTAAAACCCTGATCTTCATCAAGAGCTCTTGCCTCTTTATCCTGCTTCTAACAATGTCATATGTCTGTTATCTCATAACACGATAGAGAAACTGAAAATGTTTCAAATAGGAATGGTGTGAGCTGTTTCATGGCAATGTAGAATGCAAAGTGCCTAGCACAGTGACCAGTCTAGTATGAACTCAGTAAAATTATACAAGCATACCTTGGAGATATTGCTGGTTTGATTCCAGACCATGGCAATAAAGCAAATATCTCAATAAAGTGAGTCACATGAATTTTTTGATTTCTCTATGTAAAAGTTATGCCTATACTGTACAGTCGTCTATTAAGTATGCAGTGTAGCATTATGTCTAAAAAAACAATGTTTAATTAAAATACTTAAAAAAAATTTTTTTTAAAAATTTTTTTCCCTACTCCTGGCAAGCTATGATAAAAAATACTTTATTGCTTAAAAATGCCAGTGATCATCTGAGTCTTCAGTGAGCTATAATCTTTTGCTGGTAGAGGGTCTTGTCTGTATGTTGATGGCTGCTGACTTATTAGGGTGGTGGTTGCTGAAGGTTGGGGTGGCTGTGGCAGTTTCTTAAAATAAGACAGTAATGAAGTTTGCTGCTTTGATTGATTCTTCCTTTCATGAAAAATTTCCCTGTGGAATCTGATGCTGTTTGATAGCATTTTACCCACAGTGGAACTTTCAAAATTGGAGTCATTTCTCTCAAACCCTGCCACTGTTTCATCAACCAAGTTTATGTAATTTTCTAAGTTTGTCATTTCAACAATGTTCATAGCTTCTTCACCAGGAGTTGATTTTCATCTCAAGAAACTTCTTTGCTCATCCATAAGAAGCAACTCCTCATCCATTAGGGTTTCATTCATGAGATTACAGCAATTCACCTCTTCAGGCTCCACTTCGAATTCTAGTTCTCTTGCTGTATCCCCCACACCTGAAGTTCCTTCCTCCACTGAAGTCCTGAACTGAACTCTTCAAAGTCATACATGAGGGTTGGAATCAACTTCTTCCAAACTCCTGTTAATGTTTATATTTTGACCTCCTCCCATGAATCACAAATGTTCTTAATGGCATCTAGGATGATGGATCCTTTCTAGAAGGTTTTGAATTTACTTTGCCCAGATCCCTTAGAGGAATGGCAGCTAAAGCCTTATGAAATGTATTTCAAAAATAGTAAGACTTGAAAGTCTAAATTACTTCTTGATTCATGGACTACAGAAAATGGACATCGGGTGAGCAGGCATGAAAACAACACTAATCTTGTGCATCTCTCTCAGAGGTTTTGGTTGACCAGGTACATTGTCAATGAACAGTATTGATACTTTTTTCTGACCAGTAGGTCTCAACAGTAGGCTTAACATATTTAGTAAACCTTGCTTTAAACAGATGTGCTGTCATTCAGACTTTGTTGTTCCATTTCTACAGCACAGGCAGAGTAGACTTAGCATAATTCTTAAGGGCACTAGGATTTTCAGAATGGCAAATGAACATCAGCTTCAGCTTCAGATCACCACCTGCATTAGCTCCTAACAAGAGAGTCAGCCTTGCAAGCTTTGATGACAGACATTGACTTCTCCTCCCTAGCTATGTAAGTCTTAGTTGGCATCTTCTTGTAATATAAGACTGTTCTACCTACATTAAAAATCTGTTAGTGTAGCCACCTTTATCAATGATCTTAGCCAGATCTTATGGATAACTTGCTGCAGCTTCTACATTAGCACTTCCTGCTTCACCTTGACCTTTTATATTATGGAGATGGCTTCTTTCCTTAAACATAATGAACCAACCTCTGCTAGTTTTAGACTTTTCTCTAGCTGCTTCCTTATCTCTCTTGGCCTTTATAGAATTGAATAGAGGTAGGGCCTTGCTCTGGATTAGGTTTTGGCTTAAGGGAATGTTGTATCTGTTTTGATCTTTTATCCAGACCACTAAAACTTTCTCCATATCAGCAAAAAGACTGTTTTGCTTTCTTATCATGCAGATGTTCACTGGAGTAGCACTTTTTCCTTCAAAAACTTTTCCTTTGCTTTTACAACTTGGCTAACTGTTTGGTGCAAGAGGCCTAGCTTTTAGCTTGCTTCGGCTTTTGACATGCCTTCCTCACTAAGCTTAAATCATTTCCAGCTTTTGATTTAAAGTGAGCAACATGTGACTCTCCCTCTCACTGAATACTTAAGAGGGCATTGTAGGGTTATTAATTGGCCTAATTTCAGTATTGTTGGGAGTGGGGGGGTGCTACTGGTTGGTGAAGCAGAACACATACAACATTGATCAATTAAGTTCATGGTCTTATATGGGTGTGGTTTATGGTTCTCCAAAACAATTACAATGTAACATCAAAGAGCACTGATCATAGATCAACATAACAGATATATTAACAATGAAAAAGTGTGAAATATTGAGAGAATTACCAAAGTGTTACACAAAGACATGAAGCGAGCATATGCTGTTGCAAAAATGACACCCACAGACTTGCTCCAGGCAGGGTTGCTGCAAACCTTCACTTTGTTTAAAAAAAAAAAAAAAAAAAAAAAAAAAAGCATTATCTGTGAAGCATAATAAAGCAAAGTGCAATAAAATGAGGTATGCTTGTAATTTCTCCCATTTTAGATTTCCTTTACATATAATTAATGTAATCGTTACTTATCTGTTAGAGTAAATCTCATCAGAATCATACTAGATTACAGTTTATTTACGTATTCCAGTATTTGTTGTTGAAAACCACAGAGTTTAATATTTATGTCCACAGTTTGCTGTAGCACCTCTTTTCCTTTTTGTTTCTCCTTTTTAAACATTATAGTACTCTTTTGAAACCGCAGTTCTTAGTCAAAATTAAATATTTATAGGCTTTTTTTATCCAGAAGAATTTCCATATTCTTCTATTCATTTTTTTAAGTTCTCCAGATCATTTTAAATTCTGACTAGAAATGATGGAGATTGTCTAACCCTGGATGACATGTTTCATCTTGTTTGTCAGTTCCATTTAATGACAGTGTCTACCTGGAGCTATATTGGGTAGAAAAGAAAAGTGAGGAAGAACTCTGGTATCATTGTCTTCTAGTCTGTTGTTTTTGTGGGGTAAGTTATGATCTGAGACTAAAACTCTTATTTTGGGGATAAAAGAACTAGACCTTGAAAAGCAAAAGAATTTGCTTCTAGTCTCTCATCTAATTTAAACTGAATTTCTACCCAGGCAGTCTTATGATCAGGTACATGTTAGCATCCCTGTGGTTTGCTTAGTTCTGTTACTTAAAAAAAAGTAAATAGTACAACAACATAAATACAAAGGTGTTATCAAAATACTTTCATCCTCTACAATAAATCCAAGTTTAAAATTGTTTTATTTCAAGCAGTTGTTTGGTTTCTTAACATGTTTAAAACCTGTAAGTGCTTTAAAAGTTCTAGAGATAGAAGATTTTGTTTCAGTGGTAGGGTGCATGAAGGCTTGCAGAGTGCTGTCTTCCTAGAAGGCTATTAATGAAGAGAATCAGACAAGATGAACAGAGAATTAATGAGTGTAAAATAATTACTGAGAAAGAATAATTAAAAGGAAAATTTAAAGACAGAAAAAGTACTATTTTGGGAATATTAGATTTTTAGTTGATGTTTAGTATTCATTTTGTAAGAAGAGAGATGTGATAATAAAATTTTTCCAAGTATATAATTCCCTGCGTACAGGTTTTAGAACAGTTAAAAATGTATGGATAAATGCACAGAGTGACTTTTACTTCTTTATTTTTTACTTCTTAGGTACTTCACATGACTGGAGGTTACGGTGTGGTGCTGTGGACTTGTACTTTACACTTTTTGGCCTCAGTAGACCTTCCTGTTTACCCTTGCCAGAGCTTGGGTTGGTTCTTAACCTAAAGGAGAAAAAAGCTGTGTTGAATCCTACCATAATTCCAGAGGCTGTAGCAGGCAACCAAGAAGCTGCAAGTAATCCAAGCAGTCATGCACAGCTAGTTGGATTTCAGAACCCTGTAAGAATCACATGTATTACAGAAAATGTGGTTTTATTATATAGAGCTATCTAAAGAAGAGAATTGCTTCCTGTAAACTGGCGAATTTTATAATCACTAACACAGTTTCTTGTGCCATTTTACAGCCTGCTGGCTGACGTTTGTTTAGCACTATACAATTTATAAAATGCTATCGACAGCTAGGTAACTGCACATAACAAATGATGTGCTGCCCGTCCACTTACCCATTTTGTGATGACATAATGATTTTTTTTTGTACTTGAGCATAAAATTTTTTTCTCTGATTAGCAGAAAATAGAAATGAATATTTAACGTATTGTATATTAACCTATCTTGTCCATATGTGTTATTGGCAAGCTGTTTGAACACAGCGGAGTCTGTCTTTTTAGATTATTACTCTGTGTATACCTAGCACAGTTCTAAACATATGATAAATGCCTGGCAAATGCTTATTGAATGAAAAAAATAAAATAATGAATGAAAGGTAGATGAATAATCTGCCGATTTGAGAGGAAGCTATGCATTACATTTTTAAAATTTATACATATGCGCTTGTTTGTCTTTAGAAAAACTTTTATTTCTAGCTATGTATTGTAAAATTACCAGACTTTTTTAGAAAGACTTACAAGATACGTATTAATCATTTTACTGTAATTTAAAGAAAGTTTTCCAGAAATGATTTTCTTATTGATAATAACAAAATGTCTCCAGTACTTTAAGTAAGCTTCATTTTTCACCAATATTTAGACCAGATTACTTGCCTGGCAATTCCCTACTGGTGTTTTGACACTTTAAAACTAAGATTCTCTCTGTGTTAGTTAGTAATAGTCATTTTAAATTTACTTACTCACCTAATTTATTTGAAATATGATCGTACTTATTTGTTGTAAATTTAAAATATGTCCTAGAGTTTGGATTATGAAGAAGTGAGACAAATCTTTCCATAGAAAAAAGAGTCTCTTTAAAGAGCTCTTTCAGATCTGAATATTTAGAAATCTGAAAATGAATATGTTTATAATTCACACTTCAGGATAAGAGGAGAAAATGACACCAAAAGACATCTTCTTTTGGGAAAGCTCTAAAAGTTCACTTTAGTACCTCCCTTTTCCCCCAGAAAAGACCAGCAGACACGATAAGGTTAAATTTATTTTAAGCCCATTGCTGATAACTTTAGCCACTGGGCATGCTCTAATCTGCATGGTTGCTATACCTATTAGTTTTCAGCTATAATATGAGTTACTTGTCTTCAGAAATCTAATTTTGATCTTGAATATTGCCGCAGGAAGATGATCACCTTGCCAAGGAAGCATCATGTAATATATCAGCTCATCAGCAGGGAGTGAAGAGGAAGGCTGATACACCACTGGGGTCCCCACTAGAACCTGGTCAAATACTGGAGAAGAATGAGGATAGCAGTAAAGTCAAACTCAAAATCAGAGTAAGAAATACAGGTTAAACCTGTATTAACAGTGTAGGATATTGACCTTCTTGTAAATCTTTTTGAATACTTGTGATGGTCTTTTCCTTAGCAGCAACACATGGGACAGACTGAATCATAAAAGAACCCAAATGTCCTTCTAAAACAGTCCAACTAATATTTAACTTCTATTATCACATACTTCTTCTCTATTTGGGGGAGGAACTATGTGTGCACATTCCACCATAGCTTACTACTTCTTACCACACATAGGAATAGATTTTAGTTGCTGTTACATTTCCAGTAATTTCTTTTCAGCTTCCTTTGGAGCTGGACCACATAATCTTTTCTTTCTCTTAATGCCTGCCTTTTGAGGAAAAGAGACTACTTTTTCTTTTAAGATTATATGGGGGTATATTCTATGGCCTCTCTACTACTTTTCCTAAGAGATAAGATCCAAGTGTAAACTGATGTAATGGTTCTTTTATTCCTTCGTTTTGTGTGTGTGTGTTTTCTTAATGCCTGCCTTTTGAGGAAAAGAGACTACTTTTTCTTTTAAGATTATATGGGGGTATATTCTATGGCCTCTCTACTACTTTTCCTAAGAGCTAAGATCCAAGTGTAAACTGATGTAATGGTTCTTTTATTCCTTCGTTTTGTGTGTGTGTGTTTTAGTTTTCAAATTCTCAAGATGAGGAGGAGATTGATATGGACACTGTTCATGATAGCCAGGCCTTCATTTCCCATCATTTGAACATGCTTGAAAGGCCATCAACTCCAGGTAAGACTGGTGTACTGCAATCACTGGGGAGATGGAAAGAGTTCACATATCACTATTCTAAGGTGTGTTGCTTTATTTTCAAATGAACAGCTATAAAGCCTAAAAGTAGCCAGTATAAAATATTAGATTGTATCAGCTTATAACATATATTGGCAAAAAAAAATTTTGAAAATGTTTCTTTTGATTTTTTATTTTATTTCTGTCCCTTTTAAATATTTGGCATACTTGTGAATTAGTTTTTTAAAAATCCACTCATCAGATTCCTTTTAATAGCTTTAATTTCTTTTTTGTGTGTGGTAGACTTAACTTCAAAATAAAATATTAGATCTGGTTTCTTTTTAATAATGTAACCACAGTTACATTTAAGAATTTTTATTTTTATTTTTTTCTGAAGTTAATGCTGCTTATACCATTACTTTCTCTATTTTACTTTTTCTTTTCTTTTTTTTTCTGGGTACTGTTTCCATTTCTTTTTGTTTGAGATTCTGTTCATACCCCATGTTGGTTGTCTTTTATAATCTGTACATTTGAGTGAGTTTTCTTCTTTTTTGTTTTTAACATTTTACATTTGCACTAAGTTGCTGTTACTCACCTTGGTTTGCTTTTTGTTTATTTGGCTTTTTCTTTTGTTTTTATTCATGAGACCTAAATTATTTTTCACTGCCTAGTCATCTAAGATGAGCTGATAGAATTTGAGTACTGGCTTTAGGTAGAATATGAGCCTAAATTATATTTGAAAACTGATAGATAGGTCATGAATTCTTTGGCTTTTATAATTGTAAGAGATCTTAACAGTTATTTATCTATTTTGTACATTTAAATGCACTTAGCAGAGCGATGTTAAATGACTTGCCCTAGATGACATAACCAAACAATGGCCAACTAAGGATTAGACCCAAATTTTAGGACTTTTCTGTGTGACAAGTGAAGGAATTAAGACACAAAGAGATGAAGTATCTTGCCCAGGATGTATTTCTAATTTGTTGATAAGTCTGGAATCAATCTGGATTCCTACTCCAGTGCTATTCACTTTATACCATTAAACCATTTCTTGTTTTAAATGTCTCCTGTAATGACTAAATTATTTTGATCTACTTGTTGAGTATATTTTATAATGGAATTTATTAGCAAATTTTGGGGGGAATGGGCAAACTTTACTATATGCAAAGTTCCACATAAATAAAAAATATGAAATAGTTCCTACCCCAGATATTGGGTCTAATTTATAAAAGTTCAGTAAGTTATTCAAGCTTATTGTCTTTCTCAAATGTGTATTGTTCTCAGAACTTACTGTTCTCAGCGTATAGGAATCATGACAAAGGATTAAGTTAAATGGGATCTTTAGTAGTTTTAAAATAGTATTATTTTTATTATTAGAATTTTATTGTGGTTGAATTTGGTTTTAAGACTGACTTATGAAAACCTGTCAGGCTTTTTTCTTCTTTTCGAAAACAAAGAAATAAATCCCTCTTTTCCTTCTCTTTTGGCATTTTAGGGCTCTCTAAATATCGGCCAGCTAGCTCCCGGTCTGCTTTAATACCTCAGCATTCATCCGGCTGTGATGGCACACCCACCACAAAACCCCAGTGGAGTATGGAACTTGCACGGAAGGGACCAGGTACAATTATTTATTTATTTATTTTTGCTCAAGAACAAATCTGTAAACTTTAATAGAGTTACTTTATCATCTTAAAAAGTACTTATATAGATCTTAGGACTTGTTTTTCTTGCAGTACATTGACTATATTATATATTTTAAATTAGACTTTTAAAAATTTGAAATGTGATGAACTCATATAGAAAACTTGGAAATAGAAAAATAGATGAGAAAATAATTATACCTCATTATGCCGTTTGAAGATACACATTATATTAACATTTTGCTTTTTCCTTGCAGTGCACTTTCTAAGATTATTATATGACAAATGCTAACTTTAGTAGAAACCACCAAGTCTACCTTTATACCTTTATAAAATACAAAAATCCACCACTTATTTCTGTCTCCCCGCATGTTTATGATTGATGATTCATTCATGACTACTTGATGCTGTACCTAGAAGACTTTAACATATTATGTCTTATAAATTATTTCATACTAATTGGGCTTAAGTTTATCAAAGGTAATTTAATTCAGATGTGTTTGTTACCTATTCTGTGTTACACTGTCTGCTGCTTATTCCCTCCTTTTGTTGCTTACAAAGAGAAGATTATAATCCAAAAAAGAGTAAACATTCGATGTTGATAAACTACCGTGAAACAAAGAATCAGTCTTCAAGTTGTGAAGGAACAGGGAGTGAAAAACAAGATACATAAGCAAGATCACTTTTGAAGAATAGTTTTTCCAAAACTCATTAGTCAGACTTTAAAATCTATGAACTTTTGGTTATGTTCCAACTGATGGATTTTGTTTATGTAAACTGTGTTTTTGTCTGATATAAACAAAAGAGTACTATTTATTGATTCACGGAGCTTAGGGATCAGCTGTGATTAATAGGAGACTTCCAGAAAAAGCAATATTTTGGTGTTGAGACCCCAGACTGTTGGTTGCTTATAGTTCTTTGTGCACTCTATACATTTATTGTAATAGGTACACACAAAAAGTGTTTTAGAAGGAAATCAGCTGGAGACGTTAGCACTTAATCTGATGAGTGAATTTTGACATTTCTTGGGCCTTGCCAATTTTATTTTCTTTTGGTTTTGGTTTTTGTGTAATTTTGCTTTACTAACAGTATACTTATTAAAAAAATTTTTTCTTCGTAATAGATTTTACAGCAGTTTTAGATTTATAGAGAAATCGAGCAGAAAGTACAGATAATTTCCATACTCTCCCCACACAATACACATTTTCTCTTATTATTTAACATGTTACATTAGTATGGCATATTTGTCACAATTATGAACCAATACCGAGATATTATTATTAACTCAGTTTTACATTAGGGTTCCATCTTTTTGTTATGCAGTTCTATGTGTTTTGCCGATGTGTAATGTCATGTATTCACCATTACAGTATCACACAGAATAGTTTCACTGTGCTAAATAACCTCTGCTTCACCTATTCATCCTTCCCCTCCACCTGCCCTCCCTCCTTCCCTAAAACCCTAGCAATCACCGATTTTTCTTTCCCATTACCTTAAACATTTATCATTTCTTTGTGTCGGGAACATTCAAAATCCTCTTTTCAAGCTAATTGAAAGTATACAATACAACACTAAATAATAGTCCTCCTATCTAGCTGTACTTTTGTTATCTGTTAACCAATTGTATTCATTTTCTGTTGCTGAAAACAGAATTCATAAGAAAATGAAATTTATTTCTTACAGTTTTGGAGGCTGGGAAGTCCAGGGGTACATCTGATGAGGGCATGAGGGCTTCTCTGATTCTCCCTTCCCTGCCCCCAACTAGCTTAAGTCCCCTGCTGTGCTTCTTTTTCCCTTTATGTTTTGTCTTTTTATTACTCAGGTGTACTTACTCAATTTCTTTCTTTCTTGCTAGTTTGTAAGCTCCTGGAGGGATTGGGGAGGGCTGAGATCTGTTCAGTTCATCACTGTTTTCTCCAGTTCCCATTTAGTTTCTGATGTTGGTTAAATGACTGTGAGAGTGAGACAAGAAATAAGAGAAGGGCATTCTAAGCATAGGGAATAGCATTTACAAATACACACTGTTATGAAAGAGTATAAAAACAGTGCATAAAAAAAGAGTGCATGATAAAGCTGAAAAGGTAATTTCAGGATAGATTGTGCACTGTTAGTAAAATTAGTGCTGCAGTGTAATTTGGAGAAAACTTATGTGGTGATGTCTATTGGTGAAAACCATGGTTAGGAGGCTGGTTTGGATCAAAATTAGTGCTGAGAAATTACTTTTTTAAAAGATTGAAAAATGGCTGCACTGAAGTCTATTTTAGTGAAAAATCTGGTTTCTTGAGTTAGTTTGGATTAAAAATATATATTTTCAGAAACTGCTACACTGAAATCCAAGGAGTTTGGCTTTCATTCTGCAGTAAAATCTACTGAGTTTTTAAGCAGGTAACATTTTCAGCTTTGTTTTTAGGAAGATCACTGTGTAGCAGGGTTTCCCCACCGGGACACTATTGACATTTTAGGCATGATAATTCTTTGTTGTGGGGTGCTGTCCTGTGCATTGTTGGATGTTTGGCAGCATCTCTGGCTTCTACCCACAGAGTGCTAGTAACATTTCCTCCCCTCACTCTCACCGCAGTAATTGCCCAAATAACCCCCTTGGGGGCAAAATTGCCCCTGGTGTTCTGAGAACATTGCTGTGCAAATGTTAAAGTATGGATTAGATTGCAAGACACTTCAGGCAGAGGAACCAGTTAATAGGAGACTACATGGTACTGCTCCAGATAAGGTGAGGTGGTCTGAATTAATACAGTTGCAGACAGGATTGTGGTATGGGATAGATTTAAAAGATAATTGTAGGCGAGGATCTACAACATGGTACTGCTCCAGATAAGGTGAGGTGGTCTGAATTAATAAAGTTGCAGACAGGATTGTGGTATGGGATAGATTTAAAAGATAATTGTAGGCGAGGATCTACAAGATTTGTTGACCAATTAGATCTGGAAGGGAGGGGATCTGAGATGAATCTGTCTTTTACTTAGTCAACTGCATGTAATATAGTACTATTAACCTATAGTAATATTGAGAGAATTGTTTCTTCATCTGGTGGATGAAGGAAATTTTAAGCACTAGAGTGTGAAAACTGGTATTAGGGATTCCTAAACTGATAGAATGCTGGAACTGAAGAGAATCTTCAAAGATATTCAATCTAGATTTTTAGTTGATGGCCTAGGCTGAGAGAGATAAGGTACATGCTAAAGGCTTATAGGACAACCTAGTCTAGAGCATGGGTCTCCTGATTCTCAGTTTCTTTCTTTTTATTGACACCATTCTTGTCTTTATATAGAGACATTTATAAACTCCCCACCTTTTCTGGGTTTCTTCAGCTGTGTATATTGAATCCTCTTAAAGAGTTCACTTTTTAAAATTGTTTTAAGAAAGTATAAGAATGTTGGCTTTTCACTAATATCATTACCAGCACCTAGGATATCATGTTTATGTGTATATAAGTGTTTCTCCAGATGGCATAAATAAAATATTGCCATTTTCCCTCACAATACCTCGGGGCAGAACTGTAGTTGAAGGAGTTGTGTTTTCATTGACCAATGTAGGTCTTAACTGTATTACACACATGTAATCATCATTGTTTCTTCATAATACTTATATTAATTTTTAAAAGATGATTTGGTAACACATTAGTATATGTTATTATCTGTATAGACTGTAAGGAACTAAAATATTCAGTTTCCTGGCCACAGTGCTAAACACTCTGTGTGTAACTAATTAGATGTTTTATTTAGATACTTCTCCTATTCTTAATGGAAATGATAAACAGGAATCCCTCTCTTCATACTGTCATCAGCTTCCTCTTACTGTAGTTTGACTTTCCTTATTATCAACAGGAATTCATTTCAGTGTTTTTAATCTTGAAGGTAAAGAACAGTCACCTTTGGAGATGGGTATGCTTCCAGTGGCAACGGCTCCACTCTCAGTGTTTACCAAGGAATCTACATCCTCTAAACACAGTGACCACCATCACCACCATCACCATGAGCACAAGAAAAAGAAGAAAAAGCACAAGCATAAGCATAAACACAAGCATAAACATGACAGTAAAGAAAAGGACAAGGAACCTTTCACTTTCTCCAGCCCTGCCAGTGGCAGGTCTATTCGTTCTCCTTCTCTTTCAGATTGAGAAGGGGACAAAGAGACCTTTCCTTTCTTATCCAGAAGAATGTATATAATTAAAGCTTTGTCCTCTATGAAGACTATTAAAAGTGGGGGTGGGAGAGATGGGAAGAAGATTTGCCTCTCTCATAGAAATTCAGAATCCATTTAAGTTCTAAACATTAGAAAAATGTGTTTCATAATTCTGGATAAACTATTCCATCCCATTTCCTCCTTAAAACACACACACAGAACAAACTTCTTTTCATAAAAGCCCTCATATCCACTGGCAGTCCCCATTCACATCATGGTCTCCATGTGTACTGCCAAAGTCAATTATGTTTGAAAGCCTTTGATGGATGTAATGGGGCAAAGTTATGTTTTAAACAGAAGCAACTGCCAAATCTGTGGTGCAACCACTATTTCCAGTGAAATATTGTATAACACCATTTGGAACTACTGAAAAGACAGACTTTTCTATAGGATTCTTTCCTATTGCACTGTTTTTTTTGTGTTAACCATAGAAACTAAGCATCAGAATTTATGAACAAAGAATATGTTTTCTTTTTTTTTTTTAATTATTTTTATTTTGTCAATATACAATGTAGTTGATTATTGTGTCCCATCACCGAAACCTCCCTCCCTCCTCAGAATATGTTTTCTTTTGCAATAAAATAGTGAAATTTTTGGAAGCAGTTCTTTTTTTTTTTTTTTTTTTTTGGAAGCAGTTCTTTTTAAAAAAAAATTCGAATAACTATCTTTTGATAGTACCTTTGGTGATTATGGTGTTTGAATTTAGCAGAACTATGAAATCCACAATTGTTCTCAAATCAAGATATTTAAATTATAAGTTGTTTTGTTTTCTATTAAGTATAAGTCAATATGTTTATGTGTAAAATTTGTTCTGCTAATGTAGAAAATTTACACACCCAACACATATTCTTTCTAACATTATTTCTGTACAGCACAAAGTACAATATCTTAAATAGGTGAGTTTATATATTGTTTGTTAACTTGGACATAGACAATTTGGCCTTCATGTGAGTATACCAGAAACATTTAAAAACATATAAACATTTTGGTTTTATAGTTTAACAGTTTCTATTATTGTTTTTATTTTTATTTCTGAGTTGATTGTTTAAGAATGTTTTTCATATCTGTTCGATTATTTTCCATTTCCCTCATCAGAAAGCTTGATAAAATACTTGTTCCCAGAATAGATATATCAAAAGGGACCCATATAATGTTAGTCTTTTAAATATACTTTGTTTTGTTTAACTTGTTTAATAAATAACTTTTTAAATTGATCATTCTGCCTTTATATCTTTTGTTACTTTTCTTTGTGTGTGTGTATATAATATACCTGCCCACGTACTTTGCAAAGAGCTTTGCAAATATATGGGATTTGTGCTGGACCCATAGGAAGAATGATTTCAGTAGGCAGAGATGGAGTAAAATTCCCTCAGCAGAAGAAAAAGTATCATCAAAGGTATGGAGGAAAGCAAGGGCATGTTCAAGAATTAGAAAGCAGTACAGTTGGCTGGGGTGTTAAGTGCAAAAGAGAATGTGTTCAGATGTTGAAGGATCTAAATGACAGTTATTTAATGATTCCAGTTAATTGAATAGTAGCCAACTGAAATAATTTTGGAAAATGAGATCTTTTGTGTTAAAGCGTACAGTGATACCATATATAGAATTACTATCTTTGAAAGCATTGCACTAGGTACTATATGTTATGTACATCATTTCTTTTCTTTTCTTTTTTTTTTTTTTTTGTCTTTTACGTGACCGGTAAGGGGATTGCAACCCTTGGTGTGGTGTCGCCCACACCGTGCTCAGCCAGGGAGCGCACCGGCCATTCCTATATAGGATCTGAACCTTGGTGTGGTGTCGCCCACACCGTGCTCAGCCAGGGAGCGCACCGGCCATTCCTATATAGGATCTGAACCTTGGTGTGGTGTCGCCCACACCATGCTCAGCCAGTGAGCGCACCGGCCATTCCTATATAGGATCTGAACCCATGGCGGGAGCGTCGCTGCGCTCCCAGTGCCGCACTCTCCCGAGTGCGCCATGGGTTCGGCCTATGTACATCATTTCTGAATTGGATGTTTATAGTAGATGTTGTGAGAAACATTTTTTATGGTGAACTGTTGATTATTTACACTGATAGGGAGAGACAATGCAGGTAATGATGATGTCGGATTTAGGGTCGGGGTGGGGGGGGCTTGATAGTTGGCTTGAACCCACCCAGTCCTCTTACCAGGTTTGTGACTCCACCACAAGAAAGAATTCAAGGGCAGAGTCATAGTAGACAGTGAGCATAAGTTTAATAAAATAGATAAGAAATACAGGTTCCGCAGAGAGAGTGCAACATGCTTCAGAGACCTAGCAGGGCCCATGCCAAGTCTAACACAAAAGTAAGTTCAATACAGACCTCAAGTCTCACACAAAAGCAAAAACATACTTAAAGTTTAGTACAAAGTGCAGGCTGGCTCAAGAGAATGAGCCTGCTGAAAGTAAATTTGATACAAAATAAAGTATACATATGCCAGGCAGTGAAGTGTGGGTTCCCTCCAGGAAAGTGAGCAACAACCCTGCCCTCTGCTGGGATTTGGCTTTTATAGTTGTTGAATGAATATTCAGTTGAGGGGGTGGCTCCCAGTTATGTAATATTTAGTCTTGCACATGCTTAGTTGGTCTCTTCCTGGAGCATTTTCATTGGTCAGACCCTATCACATGCACCAGGCATGTTCAAGAATATTCTGTGCTCTCTATTGAACATGCCCAGCCACTGGATTTGCATAAGCCATCTGCTTGTGGTATCATTTTCCCTGTGCTGTTGCTGAAAATAGGTCTAACTTGCAACAGTAACTTTCCTCCAGAGGAGGGGCGGGAGACCTCAGGGAGTGGCTGGAAACCCAGGGGTGTGTCGGGAAACCCAAGCCCAGGGAAACTGAGCACCTTCTATATCAATGATACACAAACAATACAGAGTTCCAGTGTAAGTCTCCCAGTTTCCTTCTCCAAAGGTAAGCTTTGTTGACAGTATTATATGTATCTTTTCAGAGCTAGTCTATATTTATATATATTTTATTTAAACAGTATGTTTGTGGCTTTCTTAAATTGTAGCATATGATACATATGTGCAGCAATTTTTTTTTATTTTTGTATTTATAGTTTATTTTTTATGGCTTCTATATTTTTTCATTGTAATAAAGTCTACTGTATTCCATGATTATAAAAATTCTCCCATTTTTTTCTAGTGTTTTTAAAATTTTATGTTTCAGGTTATATCTTTCATCCAACTAGAATCTGTTGGAATTTAATTTGATAAAAGGAAAGAAGATAAAATATTTTTTTTCACAGAATGCTGCTCAACACCATGTATTAAAATTGTCTTTTCTCTAGATTTCAAATGTTATATGCTAAATGTCTTTGTATATTTGGGTCCATTTTTGGACTTTGTAGCTGGTTTTATGGATCTGTCTACTCATCTGCCAGTACCACACTGTTCAGATTATTTTATTTTATTTTTTATTTATTTTTTTATTGGTTATGAATATTCATGGAGTACAAAGCAAAATGTCACCACTCATGCCTAAGATGTGATGGCCAGATCCATATAGATTATTTTTAAACACTATGTTTTTGTAGGGTAGAACTAGTCTCCCCTTATTACTTTTCATTTCCAGAATGTTTTGCATCTTCTTGGTTTATTTTCTTTTTCTCTTTGATTTATTTTTAAAATTTATATACAGTAAAATTCACTTCTTGTGGTATACATTTCTATGGGTTTGACAAGTTTTTGGAGTTGTATATCTACCACTACAGCTCCGGAATTCCCTCATGCTTCCCCTTTGTAGTCAACTTTCCCTTCACACAGTACCTGACTACCACTGATTGGTTTTCCATTTCTATAATTTTGCCTTTTTGTGGGTCTATTTTTCTGTATAAATATCAAATCAAAATTGTTATAGCTTTAAAATTGTTTTTTTTAGCTTGTATTGATTGTGTATTAAATAGGAGGTAACTTAGAACTGATAGTCCTGTTATTGATTATTCCTATTAGGGATGTCAATATCACTGTCTATTGTTATAGGTTTCTTTAAAATTCACTATAAGGTAATTTATCTTTTTGTTCAATATGCTATAAATGGTGTCTTTTTTCATTATAAGGTTATTCTTTTATGCTAACTTTGTGCTTTGCTACCTTACTAAATTCTCATTATTTGCAACATTTTAAATTCATTTCTTTGGTTTTCTTTGAAAATCATATCTGTAAATGATTTCTTGATTTCTTTTTTGGATAGTTTGTTGTTAGTGTATAAAAATGCTACTGATTTTTGTGTGCTGATTTTGTACCCTGCAACTTTATTCATTTATTAGTTCTAACAGTTTTTGGTGTCATCTTTAGGGTTTTCTGTATATAAAATCATGTTATCAGCAAACAGTGACAGTTTCACTTCTTCCTTTTTAATTTGGATGCCTTTTATTTCTTTCTCTTGCCTAATTGCTCTATCAAGGACTTCCAGAACTATGTTGAATAGAAGTGGTGGTGAGAGTAGGCATCCTTGTCTTGTTTCAGATCTTAGAAGAAAGGCTTTTGATTTTTCACTGTTGAGTATAATGTTATCTGTGGCTTCTCATACATGGCCTTTATTGTTTTGAGGTATATTCCTTCTATACCAAATTTGGTGAGAGTTTTTAATCATGAAAGGATGTTGAATTTTGTCAAATGCTTATTCTGCATCTATTGAGATGATTATGTGTTTTTTTTCCTTCATTCTGTTAATGTAGTGTATCACATTTATTGATTTGTGTATGTTGAACTATTCTTGCACCGGGATAAATCCTATTTGATCATAGTGGATAATTATTTTAATATGTTGTTGAATTCAGTTTGCTGTTATTTTGTGGAGAATTTTTGCGTCTATGTTCATCAACAATATAGGGCTGTAATTTTCTTTGCAGTATTCTTTTTCTTTGATGATGTATAATCAGATGTTTATTTTTTTGCATAGTACATTTTTTTATTGGTTATGAATATTCATTAGATACAAAGATGATTGTTACCACTCAAGCCCAAGTTGTGATGGCCAGATCCATATTGGCAGCATGTCCATTACTACGAATTGTGATTATACACTGTGTCCCCCACCCAATTATCCTCAACCTCCCTCCCTATACTCCTTTCCACCACTCTACTTTGTATCCCTAGGTATGCTCTCTCCTTCTGGAAGTCCAACACACCACTGTGGTCTTTTTTTCTTTCCTTCTTTCTCTCTTAGCTCCCACTTATGAATGAGTACATGCAGTATTTATCCCTCTGTGCTTTGCTTGCTTTGCTTATTTCACTCAACTTATGAATGAGTACATGCAGTATTTATCCCTCTGTGCTTTGCTTATTTCACTCAACCTAAGTTTCTCCACACTCATCCATTTTGTTGCAAATGGGAGAATTTCATTCTTTTTTATGGCAGAGTAGTATTC